GAGAGAGAGAGAGAGAGAGAGAGAGAGAGAGAGAGAGAGAGAGAGAGAGAGAGAGAGGTTTGCCAGTGGGTTAAAAGGAAGTAGAGATGGATATAGAATGATGGCCAAAAAACACAGGCAAAGTCGACCAACCAGAAATAAAGAGATGCAGGCACATAAGAGGCCAGCAGCACAGGATATTGCTGTGTACAAGACAAAGCACAGGATGTTGCTGTATATAAGACAAAGGTGCCAGAAATGATCCAAACATTCTGTTGGTAATTTACAGAAAACATCTGATAAAGTTGGCGTTGAACCTCCCTCCCTCTCCCTCTCCCTCCATCTCCATCTCCCCCTCCCTCCCTCGCCCTCCATCTCCCTCCCTCCGCCTCACGCCCGGTTCGCACACGGCCACGACATCTACTGAACTGCTGACTACTACTAACCATAGAAAGGGCTCCGCAACAAACTGAAAGAACTCTGCGAGTCGACACACACTAGTAAAAATGAAGCTTATCCAAAAGCCGTAATCTTGATCAAATACAAAAGTGACAAAAATCACAAAACTAATGAGAAACTTGAACTCGATGAACAAAATTCCACAGACCTGTTATTGCACGTGACAAAAAGTGCCGCACCTTGAAGATGATCTCTGCTGTTCTCGAAGAAGATAAAAAAGGAGGGGAGGAGAGGGAGGGGGGGGGAGGAAAGATAACACCTTGCGATTGACATGGCACAGAGCGCCAACAATTCTTGCACTTGGGTGAAGTAGTTGCAATGGGCAGTCAAGAGCCCCTACAAAGCGGACAGTCTTCTGTATCTGACAGTATTTTCTGCCTACGGTTCAGAAACACTAAGCCACAGTATGAGAAAAAAGATGACGTAAACTTATAATTTATAAATAGTCCCTACAAGCCTATAACCCACCCCAAAGCCGACAGTCTTATCTGACTGTATTTTCTGCCTACGGTTCAGAAACACTAAGCCACAGTATGAGAAAAAGATGACGTAAACCTATAAATTATAATTGATAAATAATAAGTTAATAACTGAGTCCAGAAACCACTTGGTACCTGGCAATGGGAGTCGGACAAGAACAAGGCGTGACAGACATCGATTATGAATGGGTGAGCTCTATAGTTGGAAGTCCAACAGAGATAAGGGTCTTTAAAAAAAAAAAAAAAGAAGCCTCAGGGGATGCTCTACCCAAGAAGTGGTTCAAATAGAAGCAATAGTCCGCCGGCGTATTTCGTCGATATCAGACGCCGACCGAAGGCAGGCACGAAGTGCAGCAAGACATGTTGGACACGGCATACGCACACTAGCACTACCCTGAATGTATCTGGCCACAATACTGACAGATCTGAATGAATCTGACCGAAATCAATGTCCAGAGCTTAGCAGAAAAAGTCTTGATGTGATGAGTATGGAGGTCAGTACTGTAGGACCTCGCTATAGTCTGAACGACTATGAAACCGCCACAGTGTGATGTAACTTCAGGAAACTTGATTACATAGCACTTCCCTAAATGTATCTGGCTGCAATGCAGGCAGACCTGGATGAATCTGACCGAAATTGTGTCCAGAGCTTAGCCGAAAAACTCTTGATGTGATGACGAGTATGCTCTGCTCTACGGTCAGTATTGTAGGAGTTCGGTATAGACTGAAGAAATACGGAGCCACCACAGTCTGATGTCACTTCGGTAGACTTGATTAAATACGAGCAATAAGCTTAACCCCCTCGTACATCTGGGCCTGGAGGCCTTCCACTGCACGCCAAGCTTTGCCAAACCGCCAGCAGCACTTCCTTTTTGGCTGGCGCTGCCAGCCATCGTGGCCCAGTAGGCCCGAACCTCCGTAAGCTTTGTAGATGATGAAAGATTTCTCCACACGCCTGGGGGCGTGTACTGGCGGTTTAAACTGCAAGTACACGGCTCCAGCCTTGCAGAAAGTCTTTGTCGCCACAAGCAAAACTTAGAGGGACCGCGCGGCGTGGGGCGCCGTTGAAAAAAAACACAAATCACCTGCCTCCGAAGTGGTGCAGGTTTCATGCTGACACAAATCGCTGGCCTCCGATGTGTGGTGTACTTGCCCTTTAAAGCACCAGTACATGCCAGCTATCGGCCGCGGGCCGCCGCTTTCGGAGGCCGCCCGCCGCCGATTCATTTTATCTACGGCGCTCGGCCTTCCCTACATTTTCAGAGAGGCTCAAAACAGATTCTCCAGTTGTCTGGGGCCATGTACTGGTGGTTTAAGGCCATAATTATTATTATAGCATAAATAATAAAGCTATATTAGGGCGCGATGCAGCACTGACTCCCCAATATGGGCAAACGAGAGAAGTTCAGCACAATATACAGTCTGGAGCAACTATACCACAAAATAATTTCACTGTGAAACCACTATAGGCAAGGGCAATTGGATCACAAGTCCCATCAAGAAAAAATCGCTGAAGTCTCGAGTCACTGCGAAGTCAATATCTCCATCAGTAGAAAAAGGAAAACATCTTCGCATTGCTTTCTGCAAGTCTGAGAGCATATACTCGAACTGCAATCATATCCTTTTGGGATGCATCTGACCACTATCCTGGTACACCCTGGATGTACCTGACCACAATTGCGTCCACAAATCGGTTGAAGAAATATCCCAGTGCGAGTACGCCCTGAAGCCTCAAATCCAGATTTCGTATGAGGTTGCTGAAAGTCGTGACACATGATCTTGCGATCGATCGAGAGCTGAAGTGAATCTGGAAATCAGACGCCCTGAACTGCTTTAGCGTTTAGCGCGCGTCAAGTTGCCAGCGTGTGATTGAACTTTGAAGTAATCTGGAAATCAGACTCACATCAATTTACAGCTGGAAGCCATGGAAGACGAAAGACGAAGACGATCCATCTGGGGCTAGTGTGCTAACGTGTAGTGAAGAAGGATATCCTTATGCCCCCACTTACTCTCCTCCTCTGCCATGTCAAGAGGAAAAAAGGAAAGAAAGAAGTAAAAAAAAAAAAAAAAAATCAGTAAAACGACTTCCTAGACACCTCGCATGGCAGTGGCATGCACATAGGTGCTGCCACATATTGATCAAACAGATCACTAAGTTTGAACCCTCATTTTACCAGCAAATGTAGGGGTGGGCAGATTCATCTGTTGTAGCGTACCTTGTTTATCCGAAGAACAAGTCAAAAGATGGCCTCACTGAAAAAAGGCACAATTTGTTACCCTTGCGTCCCTCTTGATCACACAGGGCAAGAGTTCGAACCCTGATTTTAACGCTTGCCGCCCTCGTGCACGCAACAAGTCAAAAGATGGCCTTACTGAAAGAAGGCACCATTTGGTATCCTTGAGTCCCTCTTGATCACACAGGTCAAGAGTTCGAACCCTGATTTTAACAGTTGGCGATCTCGTGCGTGCACGCAGATGTCACCAACCAGCAGCACGTGAAGGCTGGTAGATCTGTTGCCCTGTGTCTTTTTCTGTAACCTCTACAATCATCTCAACTCCCTGCCATTTTTTTTTGCCATTGACGAGCTGAGCTGTTTCAAATTTCGATAACGAAGAGTTGGCACGGCAAACCCATGCAGATGCTGGTAGAGATAATCAACCACCCTTCTTACCAGACTCCCATTCCAGGAGATCCTCCACGCCACCCGCTGCTTCATTTATCGTTGTGCATGCGTTGCACCTTCAGTCGGTAGTGATCAGTACATTCTAGCCTCAGATCCACTCCTAGACGCATTGGAATCGAACCAGCACCCTCAGCCACAAGAGTCAAAGCTCATAGCCACTACAAACCTCATTCGTCGTTGCCGGTTCCATATGTCAAACTGAACTGCGGGATGATCCCCATTGTTGCAGTTTTTTTTATGACTACTCGCTCTGGAAGGGTGCATCTGGAATGTAGTCCTGTTGTAGCTCTAGAAGGGTGCGTGCATCTGGAAGATCCCCATTGTAGCGCTGGAAGGGTGCATCAACAAGAGCACACATCCTGATGACTATTTGCTCTGGAAGGGTGCACACATCCCCGTTGTTGCCGGTTTTTTATGACTATGAGCAAGTAGTCCACGGCAAACTCTCTCGCTTAAACAAGAGAAGTTAGAGAACAGACCTGAAAAGATAAAATAACCTCCTTTCTTCCCGATGCATCCTCGAGAAAAAGTCGCCACCGAAAAAAACGGAAGTCGTCAGGATGTGTGCTCTTGTTGCTAGGCCAGTAATAAAAAAAAAAAAAAAAAAAAAAAGGTCAGTTACCAAAGGCGGCAAAGTCAGACTCCTCAGAAGTACAGGCCTTGTTTTTTTTTCACATCAAGGACGTAAACTGCCTGTTCCTTTGCCAGCTTGGAGAGAGAAGAGGAAGTCCGCGAAACCAGGTACGTCTTGACAGACAGATGCTGAAGCTTGATTCCTGCCAGTGCTGCAAGAATATGGATGAGAAGTTCAAGGGCGTCGCACGCATCCAGTGAAGACCCATGCTAGAGGGATAAGATTAACTAACACCATATTCGAAAATAAAGAAGAAAAATAAAGAAGTGACAGTCATGGCCAGTTGCCATGTCCAGCAACTGGCCATGACATCACGATCAACATAAAATTAGTAATTACCTGTTGCTGTGAGGCCTAGCCGATTTGAAAAGCATACACAGATTGCAGACTCTGCCAGAGAGTTTAGCCTATACTATAGCTAACGCCACCCAGCACGCAACCCTGCAAGTGAACTCACACTATTTCCAGGATGTAACTGGCTGCAACTACGACGAATAACGAATGTATCTGACCGTAAACCAGAGCTGACTGCGGTTGACCCCCGAAATCAGTGGTGACCACACAGTACTCAACTCTGCAAGGGCACTCACATTATATCCAGGATGTCCATGACATCCAGATCGACATAAGTTACCTGTTGCTGTGAACCCTATCCAGTTTGAAAAGCACATGAACAGATCGCAGACTTTGCCGGAGAGTTTATTAGACTATAACTAACACCACCCAGCACTCAACCCTGCAAGCGAACTTGCAGTATTTCCAGGATGTACCTGGTCGCAACTACGACCAATAACAAACGTATCTGACCATAATTACCGCCAGAGCTGAGTGCAGTTGACCCCCAAATCAGTGGCGACCACACAGTACTCAACTCTGCAAGGGCACTCACATTATTTCCAGGATGTATCTGGCCGCAACTACGACAAATAACGAATGTATATGACTGTAACTACGACCAGAGCGGAGGGGAACAGGACCTACCAGTAGTGTCAGTACGCCATGAGAGCAGTATTTGTACAATGGCAAACTCTCCTGCAATGCACACGATATCATCCTCCATCCCATAGATCCACAGTTCAAGACAGATTGCCAGCAAGCAAACTGAAGAAGTGCTCACAGTCAGCTTGCTCAGTGCCCCAGCTTCTGCACAGAAGCTATTGATCGAGAAACCCAAGGAAAGAAACACTCACAGTCTGCTGCTTACATCCATACCTGCTGCAGCAGACGTCAGTGATACCTGAAGAAATGGGGGCCATGTTTGTCACCGCAAGAAGTAAAATACCATAATATCACAACCTCCGCCGACCACATGCTATTAGCTTCTTCGCCCACTTTCGTGCGCTAAAGGTGGCTCATCTTTAACTTGCTTGACAGCCATCTGCGTTCGCACCCTCCTCACCACAGGCATAGGGGAAGACGATCTGTCAGCCATGCTCCCTCACCTGGTCCTAGAGTTGGCGTTGCAAGTACTTGGTCACAGTCATCAAAGGAACTCCTGTCCTTCAGCTACCACACGACATGCACTCGTCTCTGTTCTCAAGGGAACAGATGATCTGCTCCATGCCCTTCTCCGCCATCAGAACCGGTGAACCTGGAGGAGAAGACGATGGCGTGGAGATTGACGAGCCGGCAGAAGAGTGGTTGTATTGTGTTTCTTGCGGCAATGTCATAGGCATGATTGCAGGAGCAGCAGCAAAAGCCCCTTCCCTAAGCAGCATGGAGGACTTTGAACGTGACTTTGCAGGCTGACCGCCTGATGAAAGCAACTGCTCGCCCCGGGAGGCCTGCATTCAGTTCCCACATACACCCACACCCACACCAAAGAAAGCCAAGTGAGCACAGTTAAGAAAGGGATCTACTCTAAACGCTACGCTCTGTGAGGTTTGCTATAGAGGTAACACTGTTTCATTGTTGGATTGTCTCAACTCAAAAGTGTTTTCGTTGTCTGCAACAGGACTAAAGCTGCTTTGATTTTGGATCTTTTTTTTTTTTTTAATTACAAATTTGGACCATTTCTCGATTTATGCGTGTCATCCTTGCGCAGGGGCCATGCTAATATTCTCTGTATCGTTCCAATTTTAACGGATGTCCCGGAGGACAACTTTGATTTTAGATCTTTCAATGCCAAATTCGCCCAAAATAAAACACCCCCTATTAACTCTGTGTGCTGGGTAGACTAGGGACTGCTATGGTAAAAAATTCAAAACACACACAGACAGAACACAGACAAAAAACACATTTAAAACAGAGTACACACATGTACATCTCAGAAGGCGAAAACAGAAATGTCCAAGGAAAAACAAACAGACACAGGTGGTCATTTCCAGGTACTTTAGAATTCAGGCAAAGGAAGAGTTGCTGGTCCTCACAAGAGTCAAAACAACTGAAAAGTAGAGATGAAGTTGCCCGCTTGTCTTTTTCTTTTTCTTTTTTTTTCTTTTTTTTTAGTTGCCGGCTCGTCTAGCGATGCCATACCATAGAAGTCAAATGAAGTCTTGCCGCAAACTTGTTAACTTGGATAACTTAAATTTCACATGTTTTGTCATGTAATAGAGAGAGACTGAATAATGCAGCACACTAACAGAGCGTGTCCACATCCAACACCCAAGCATGTGGCTGAATGGTACAAGCGTGTGATTTCTGGTAAATAGTGCATGAGTTCGAATCCTTATCCGATCAATGAATAAAACAATATTACGATCGAGCAACTCAAAAAAAAAAAAAAAAAAAAAAAAAAGGAAAAAAAAAAAAAAAAAAAAAAAAAAAAAAAAAAAAAAAAAAAAAAAAAAAAAAAAAAAAAAAAACAAAAACAAAAAAAAAAAAAAAAAAAAAAAAAAAAAAAAAAAAGGCAGGCCAGACATGAACGAAATAATTGATGCGGCCTAAAGCGGGTTAAACAGTTGAAATGCAGTTGTGAGTTCAAATCCAGATGGAGCTGATGAATGAAATCAAATAACTGATTAGAACAGTTACAACAAAGAGCACAACCAGAAAAGTCGACACCATTTCCATTCAGAACTCAAGTTAGGGAAGTAGCAAGTACACATTTCCAAAGTCCAAAAAGAAGAGATTTCAATTGCACCAAAACGAAAAAAGAACTTGAGTAATGGTAAGGAAAACTTGTTTTTGCAAAAAAAGAAAAAAGGAAAAAAAGAAATAGACCTGCTTTCGCAACCCCTCTGCATGCTCGCATATAACAACTGCTATGAGTCGACAAGTATCGACAAGGATTGTGGTTGAAAAGAGCTTACCTTCAGTGATGGGGTGCTATTGTCAACCGTGAACTGGATAGCATCTGCCGCAGCCTTCGATCGGAGATAATACATTCCTGTCTTCATCCCCTGCACAGATCAGTCATCCACATGCCAAAGCGGAGTGCAGACATGCACAAGGGCAATGAATGGGAACATGGAAAGGAGAGAGGAAGAGGGAGAAAGTCAGAAATATCAGAAACATGATAGGGAGGGGAAGAATACTGAAAGTGTACAGAGAGCACAAACAAACATCGAGTGGCAGAGAGAGAGAGAGAGAGAGAGAGAGAGA